GACTCATTGAGTTTCTTAGTACCTTGCTTTTGCTGAGGTTGGCTTTGAACTGGTGATCCTCTTGCCTCAACCTGAGGTTACAGGCATGTGCCACCACACCCAATTGACTTGTAATTTTATTCCATTATGATCTGATCTAATGCAGGGTATTATACCTTTTTGTAGTAGTTGCTTTGTGTCCTAAAATATGGTTTATTTTGGAAGAATGTTTCCTGTGAAGCTGAGACGAAAGTGTATTTGGTCTCATGAATGAAATATTCTGTATATATCCATTAAGTCTAAATTGTCTTTTTTATTTCTGTAGTTTCTTTAGTTTTTGTTTGGATGGCCTAGCCATCTAGTGTAAGAGAGGCATGTTAAAATTACCCAATACTATTTTGTGGTCTATTTGATTCTTGATATTGAGAAGTATTTTTTTGATATGTCAATGCTCCATTGTTTTGGGCATAAACGTCATTGATAAATAATTCCTTGAACGAGTATGAAATGGCCTTCTTGGTTTCTTCTATTAACTTAGGCTTTAAATATACTTTATAAGACATAAGAATTGAAACCCCTGTTTACAAGATTCTGGTGAAAAATAGTTTTTTTACCATCCTTTTACTTTCAATCTGTAGATATTTTAGGGGTGTGTTTCTTGAAAACTACATGTTAAGTGTTTTTTTATTCTCCAGTCTCCCAGCCTATGTCTGTTGATATGAGTCCATTAGCAATGACTGTTATTATTGAAATCACTTTTTTCCTGTCATTTTGATTTCTAGTTTTTAATTGAATTATTCTCCAGTGACATACTACTCCAATTGAGTTTCACCCTCTGCTGGTTTTCACTTGTATTTCCCATTTTTTCATAAAATACTTGATTGAGTATGTAGTGCTGGCTTTGTAGTTGTGAATTCTTTTGTTTATCGTGGAAGGTTTTTACCTCATCTTCAAATATGAATACTAATTTTCCTGGATACAGTATTCTTGGTTGGCATCCCATTTCCTTCAGAGCGTGGTATGTATTCAAAGACCTTTTAGGGTATGTGTTGAAAAATTGGCTGAGATCTGGATTGGTTTACCTCTAAAGGCAACCAGACTACTTAAAAAAAAATCCTAACCTTATTCTTTAAGGCATTTTCATAAGAATGTAACTAGGAGTGGGTCTGTTGTAATTTTGTATATTTGGAGTCCGGTATGTTTCCTGTTTGACTTTCCATTTCATTCTAGTGCTTCCTGATAATCCACTGTCTTATCTCCCTTTACTACATGTTTCTAAAAATATTTATTCTTCCTCTTTCTTGGCGGTTTGATGGCTTACTGCACTGATAATGTTTTCTTTTGTTTCTCTTCTGTGCATCTACTACTTGGATTTGTACTTGAATACGTTTTTATTTTTGGATGTAGGACTGTATAATGTATTTAAGACTACAATGGAGATCATAAATTCTGCTTTTGCTTATCTCAGGTCTTTATTTCCTATCCATTTATGAAGGATAGCCATGCTTGATAGATTAAAAATGATTGGCAATCATTTTCTTTCAGGAATGTGAATTCCTAAAAAAAATTTTTTTCCCCTGGCCTGTAGGGTCTGCTGAGAAATCTGCTTTTAATCTAACAAGGATACCATCAAATGTGAGTTGGCACTTTTCTCTTGCAGATTTTAAGTAGTTTGCCTCACATTTGTGATTTATTTATGTGTCATGGTGAAGATATTTTCTGGTCATGTCAGTTCAGGGTTCTATGAGCCTCTGTACCTGGATATTGGCACATTTCCCAAGATGAGGAAAGTTTTCTGCTACTAAATCATTGAATAAGTTTTCTAAGTCCTAAATCTTTACCACCTCACTTTAAGATATTCCAAAGATGCAGAAATTTGCTCATTCAATGGTGTTCCAACTTTTTAAAATGTTCTCTTCATTCTTACTACTGCTACTGTATACCTTCTCATTACTGTTCCTCTTCCTTCCTTTTGTTTCTAAATGGGATTTCAAAGAACTGTCTGGAAGTTCAAAATCTTCTGCTTGATCTAGTCTATTGTTTACTTTCAACAATTTAAATCAATTTATTCAGATCTCCACTCAAGATTTGTTTGCTTTTCAAAATCTCTGCTAAATTTCTCAAGCATGCCCTGCATTATATTCATAACTTCAATTAATGATATTCTTTGGGATCTCACTGAGCTTTTAAAAATAAATCAAATTTTGTGGCATCTCATCCATTTTTTTCAAATATGTTGGTAGAGAATAACTATCTTTTGTGTAATATTAACTACTTTAATATATCTTGTGCTCATTTGTTCATCTTTTGTATTAGATTGTGTGAGAGACACTTAGTAAATAACCTTAAAACATGTCTGGAATGTCATTTTGTTAAGCAACGCTGGCTTTAGTTTTAGCTGGACACTACAGTGAAGTCTCTTATTGACTTCTGGGCTTGTCATTAGTGTATTTGGGTACAGTGTGTGGCATGTCTGAATTTGGAGACCCATGTTTCTTTGGGCCAAGCAATATTGAGAGCAGGCTGGCAGTTTAGGCAGGTCTGATATAGATAGTAATAGTTATTGAGTGCTCATTGTGTGACTACTCTTAAAATGGGAGTTGTGACCCCAATTGGGTGATGGTAGTTTCCTCAAGTACTGTTGGTGGCACTAGTAGTGGTAAAGGACCTCTGGAGCATCTGTTCTTTGACCAGACAGTGGTGCAGGGTTAGACCCTGTGTAGAGAGACAGTGGCAGGAACCTCAACACCAACTATGGAGTGCTCACAGCCTGTCTTGGCACCAGGGCATGGTCTGGCAGGGGGTGGGGACAACTGGCAGTGGAAACCATAGAGGTTGGTGACAGCAAGAACTGTGGTATTTCTCTCTCTCCTGGATTCTATTAGTGTCCACTGGGGAGTAGGACCTCAGTTCCTGTGGACATGCATACCCAGGGATTGTGCAATGGCAGTGCTTTTCTGTCCCTTCTCCTTCGGCTATCATACCTTCCAGGGAGTGAACGAGAGTGGAATATGAGTAGAGCCAGGCTGTTTCCCTCTAGTACTCACTTGGCAGTGTGTGCCTGAGGCAGGGCAACAGCCCAAGTTACAGCATTGCTCAAGGTTGCCTGAGCCTGCCAATCTGTGCAGGTCAGCAGTGAAATTATGGCCCCACCCCATGTACAGCACAGGGAAGGGGCAATGGGAACTGCTCCCAACTGTGTGGCTACCTGGCTTCAGTCCTAGCACAGGCTCAAACCCACATGTTGCCCGTCATACTCTGGGTCTCAGAAGGCAACTTTCCTGATCCCTTGGTTATCAATGGCAATGCCCCTCCATTCCCCTCTTGAGGAACATAATGCTCACTAATTCAATAAAAAGTGACACGTGGCATTGTTAAAAATGCCACAGTGCATGACAAGAGGGAAGTACTTTCTGACATTTAGGATCTAGCAGGGAGATAGAGATTTAAAAATCACAAGAGGCTGGGCAGTGGTGGCAGAGTGCATGCCTAAGATCCTAGCACCTCGGGAGGTTGAGAAAAGGAGAATCTTAAGTTTGGGACCAGCCTCCACAACTTGAGACCACCCTGTCTCAAGATAAAGTATTTTTTTAAAAGTGTGTGTGTGGGGGGGGGGGCTGGGGATGTGGCTCAGTGGTTGAGTGCCCCTAGGTTTAAATCTACTTGTTTTGTTATTTTTTTTTTTTTGGTAAGGCAATTTGGCCACACTTGAAGTAAGCAGTAGAAAAACAGGATGTCATATGGGTGGTTCCAACATCAAAAAAAAAAAAAAAAGCAATTAAAGTTAGCTTTCTAAGACGTTTTTTTAGAAAAAAATCCAAATTAGTAGCCCTTAAGTGAAAAAGTTTATGGGGCCTATTCAAATTGAACTACAAGAGAACAACGCAAAATGGTTAGAAGTGTAGTTTTGATTCCCATGGTTTTTCTATACACAAGTTATATTTATCAAGCACTTGTTTTGCATGACTCTGCACTAAGTCTTCAAAACGCATTACAAAGTAATTCTCCAGTAGGGTTAGTAAATAATATTCTTAGGAGAAAGGAAGGTTTACAGAAATCACCCACGTTATATTTCTAGAAAGGAATGAAAAATTATTTGCTATGTATTAATATTCATAGTGAAAATTAAGAAAAACCTGTTTAAAAGATGTTATAGAAACTTCAAATTAGGATTTAGAGTTTAAAACTAGATTATTGCAAGCAAACAATGAAATCAATGCATAAAATTAAAAATCATTCTCAAACCTCAACTGAAAATAAATGGTATTAGCTCACACATCTTTCTCTGAAAGGTCTGATAAGTCTGTTTAACTCATTACTAATTTTATCAGAAACTCACATGTAATAGAGTAAAAACTGAACTATCAAAACATTTTTTTGTAATTTTGAGTTTCTTAAAACAACTGCACCAACTTATGGTTCCTGTAGCTGCACTAATACATTTATAAACATATATGCTTCGTATTGGCTTTTCCAAATAAGTATCCTGAAGTTTAAATAGTCTTAAACTTGTGGCTAAAATTTAATTTACAATTATGAATACACAACCATTCGCACAACCAAATCAAAGATAAGTACAAATTATAAAATTCATCATTGGCTATTTGGCACGTGATGTGTAAGGTATATCCACTCACTCTACCACTGTTCCGGCAGGTTTTACAATGCTCAGAACACCTTTGCCTCAATGTTTGCAGGCATAGTAGTAAAAGAACATCAAACACATAAAATATTTGCAGCATTATTAGCAGCCTGTTAGTGACAAGACTTGAATCCAGTGTTAAAAAAAACTTCTTGCTTTGAACCTTTAATATTTAGAAAGCATTTCTCAAAGACAGAAAACAAGGCACTGAACAGGAACATTAGATGTGCCATACAATGTGTATTCAAAAACTAGTTTGTCACAGCTGTATTAGTCTTGACTGTTTCGATCCTTAGGTTTGTCCAAAATGCCTAAAGGTAGGGAAATGCATGATTGTTCCTGTAGGATACATGAAATAAGTAGACTTTGCCAGGGGAAATCAGATACACAAATTATACAGTACTCAGTTTTATTATATATTAGGAGATTGTACAATTTTCAAAGCTAGTAACAGGATCTTTTTCTAAGTGTATTTAAAACATAACAAAATAAAAGTATTTCACAAAAGTCCATATTACAGTACTATTGAAATATGAGGCATAGACTAATTATGTATTTATGGGTTATAAACAATACATTCATTTTAAAGAATAAACAATGTGAATAACATCTTGGTTAAAATAAATATCATGGTAAATGTTAACGGCAACACCTGAAGTATATGAATACAAGGAAGGTGTTTTGTAATAGACACTACATAGAATGGTAGAGCATTCATGAAATGGCTGTATCTTACTAACTTTACAATCATTGCACGTTGTTGAGCACTTTATTTATATAGATACCCTTCATTCACCATTCCTAAACCTCAACATACAAAAGTTACTAGAGGCTTTCCCCTGAGTAACTGGTACCAATGTTTAAATAAGGTTTAGAATCAGATGTACCTTCTAATTTCTACTTTTCAAATCAACTCAAATGTTTAAATCTCAGAACATTCATAGGCAATTAGAACTTGCAATCATTAATTTTTTAAAATTCTCTCACTCTAAATTTGATTTTTTTTTTTTTTTTTACCCAGTGGTTTCTTCAGGAAAAATAGGAACACTAGGATGAAAAAGAGATCTGAAACGGAAGTTTGCATCAATAGAAAATAGTAACACATTCCTCTGACCAAACTCTCCGCAGTCACTTTTCAGCAGAAAGGCTCACTAAGAAATCTTGTCACTGCAAGGGAATTAAGCTAATGAACTTTACATTCATGGGTTCAAGACTGCAAGGAAGAGGATCTGTTCTAACCAGAGAGATCTCTTAGTCAATTATACTATATTAAAACAACAGTGACACTAACGGTCAACAAAACCACATCTGTTCAGGCTTCTGGGGATAAACCTATTGATGCACAGTGTAAGTGTTATGAGTCATTAGAATCTGGGAAATACAATGCATCCAGCCCTCATTAAAAACACCAGGTTTCCTTTGCCTATTCCTAGGTTGCACATATCTGAAAGGTAGTGTTTTCTATCAAATTGAAAGATGTATACTGTTTGCCCTGTATATAGTCTGAAAGTATTCAAATGAGCCTAAGAAAACTACGGTGGGGGAAGCCAGCAGTTGTATTGCCTGAACATAAGGTTTTCAAGTTGGCAAGATAATCCAACCCAAGGCTTTGTGGTGGCATGCACAGCATCCTTTAAGAGTGACTGCCACTCGGTGTGAAAATTCTGTAAAGAACTGGTTGCTACATTCAGGGAAAACACATCTCCATAACAGCATTTACTAAACTCTACCCATTTCCTTGAACTATATTAAGCATTACCATCTCTGTCATCTTCATGCTTACACAGTACTCTGCTCAAGTTTCTCAACAGAAATATTAATGTCACAATTCTGGCCGTAGTAATGGCCAGTTTTCATTTCCTTGAACACTTAAAAATTATAACATTGTCAAATGAAAACTATGTCAACATTCACAGGTACATTATAATACACATCCTTTCTTCCTCTAACAAAATAAAGTACTTGTATACAAGGTGGCCCAAATATTTTAAGTTTTCAATCTGAGAAATTGTTGGTATACTGAAAATTTCTCAAAAGGGAATTATGTTCTCAAAATCTGAAACACTAATGGATAAAATGAACATAAAATATAAATAAGAAAATAACTTGAATATAAAAATTTCTGAAGGGGACCAGTCAGGACTTTAACAAAACCTATGAATAAAAACATATGCTTACATTATAGTGTACAATGAGATAAAATGCCTTTAGGTTTATAAAGAAATCTAGTACTGCAAAATTATTCAAATATTTTTCAAATGTACAAATATTAAAAACAAAAGCCTTGAGCAAGGTGCAACTTTAAAAATTACTCACACCAGCCAAACAAATCCTTAACCACTTTTTAAATGGATTCATTTATACCATTTAAATGCAGAGAATATCAGTGATATTAAAGCAAAACAAAGACTTTTCAGTGTCTGACTCACATTTCATCCCCAAATCTTTTCACATTTAATAGTTGCATTTTGAATGTCTAAGCTGAGTTTTAAATGTTTCTCAAAGTCTGTTTACACTTATTAGAATAACATATCTGAAAGCTACAATGCTAAGAACTAAGACACATACTTCAAATGTTAAAAATCACAAAGGTTCACAATGGTGTTCATTTCAATATCCATAAATGACTAAAAAGCAAAAGTCAAATATTCAGATACTTTTGATCAGGTTTCACACCCCTCCTGATGTGTGCCAAGTGCACTTCCAATATTTGGCACTCAGTCTATCGGCAGAAAATGCCATAATTCTAAAAGCCTTTAGCTACGGGGGGAAAAAAAAACTCTCACTTGCTTTCCTAACATGCATTTTCATAATCCTGAAGACATTCTGAGTTTCCATAAAGGTGATTTTGACTGGTACAAAATGAAGCTTACATGAAAACTGGTTAAGGATTCAAAGCACATTAGCTCTGAAATACTAATCTTAATATCCAGACAAAACGGGGAGAGGTATGATTTGCACAAAAATACTTTAAATATTTTCTTTATATTCTTCATGATCTTATGCACGTTTAGCTGCTTGCAGTGCATGCGTGCATCCTCTTGGCCACATCATAGACATAGGTGATGTCTGGTCGCTTCTCTGGATCCGGGTTGATACACATATTGACTAACTGTCGTAGCTGCAAAGAAAGGAAAATGTGACACTTAAACCAACTTTAAGAAATTTTGAAAGTATATTTTCTGACAGGATATTCCTTCTACTAGAACCATATATGACTGCTGTCAGTGACTTTACAATTAAGTTGTTTTTTAAAATAAAGAATATAGTTAATTTTAATTGAGGTATTATTTTTTTCCATTTTCTTATTAAATATAATCATTGGAGAGTATTAATGTCAAGAATTGTCCAGATTTTTAAATGGATTTTTTAGAAGTCGAAGACAACAGGAAAGAACGTTTTTAACTATGAGGCTGCAAGCTAACTGTAGCTTATACACATTTAATCTAGAACTTATATTTGCCTTGATTATAAGCTTAAATTTTCATAAAAGGCAATAAGGGTAGATGTCTACCTCATACATTCAACCTGAACCGTTTCATATAAATGTACAAAAGTCCAATATGATCTTACAGGAGTAAGTAAAGTACAAGCAAGGGAGATGATGAATGTTATGTTATAATAAACTTCAAGGATTAGAATAAGGAAATCCTTCACTTCTGGTTCAAATCCACCAAGTAGAATACAGGATTTTATTCTGAATTCTAATTACCACTAGTTTAGGAAATAGTCTTAAATAACACTACATATGTCCTTCCATATCCAAATTCTTCTGCCTCATGAGTATTTCAGGCATTCTGAAAACCTTTATACACTAACTCCTTTGGCAAGTAATATTAGCATGTAGTAATAAGTAACTTTTTCATAGTCCTTCTACCACAACACCATTTTCAACTACAAGAAACAAAAGCTGTTCCTTTCGTGGGCTGACTTCATTAGTACCACTGTGTGCAGGGCTAATGCCAGGAAGAGATGCTATTCTGAAAGTGCAAAGGAGCTGGTCCAGTTTGGTTCCCACCTTGCACTGTCTCCTCACCTAATCTTGCTGAAGACACTTTGCAGCCTCGTGTCCTGAGGGAAATCCCTGGAGGATTTTCCTCAACTGTTAGTGAGGCTGGAGATGATCAGTGTTCTCCAAGCTCTCATTTCCTAACTCTAACAGAATACAATTTTAATGACTCAGTGTTAGTCACACGTGGAAATTTGATAATGCTGGATGGCAATATTGTATCTGAGAAGGCTGGAAGATATTAGATTTACATTCTGTGCAAAAGAGCACAGCGCTATGTAAGGCATTTTACTATGGTGATCGAGAAATATAAATCAGAAGGGGGGGTACATTTCTCTTTAAAACAAAACACGTCGAGTTATATACTACTCAAACGCTAGAAAAAAATGATACATACAAAAAGGGTTCTGTAGAAGTCACCCACCATTAATGCTTTTAGAGACTTAAAACGATGAAGCAGACAGGATGGCAGAAAAGGAAAACAGATGGGAAAGAAATCACTACTTAACCAAAGAAGAACTAGATGCAATGACTCTTAAATTTACAATACTGTCACAGTCTTGAAGCTAGTTCAGGAAACCTCACCTGTCTAATACTTCAGAACACAATGGAATTCCTGGTCCCAAGTTTTCCTGGCTTGAGGAAAAACCACCCAAGGCTAGAGAAGGAATGATGCAAGTCTGGCTGAGGATGGCGGCTCTCGAAAGTTTTAAAAAGGAGACTAAACAGTGGGAACACAGGGAAGCTCTTGAGACGTAACTGCTCCTAAAGGACAACATGTCAACCAGTAACCATCTTGTAGAAAGAGAAAGGAAAAAAACTGTTGATCTGGCTCCATTGGTAGGTTCACTTACCAAAGATGAAAATTTATCTTGTCATAAAGATACTTCCACAGAAATCAGCAACAGACCATATAAATTCAAATGTGAAGTATGCATACCTGAACATACTTATGCATCAAATATATTTTTTCTAACCTATGTGCTATTTAATTACTAAAATCTGAAAAATCCTCTAAAACATGGTTTGGCAACGACTCTTACTGACTTGCTACACGAATATTTCTAGAGGATGTATGCCATAAGAGACATGGACACAATAAATCAAAGTACCCATCCCTAAAGGAAGGCTTATGGGTCAAGGTGAGTGACTTTTTAGATGCCCAACTCTCTTCCATCCTTTCTACCCTACTCTGCCTCTCCTTCCATTATTCACTTTTGTCCAATAAATTCTTCGAGTACTATGTACCACTTCATGAGGTGGCAAGGATGAAGTGACGAATGAGGCAGACAAGACACCTGCCTTTTTACAGTGTACAATCAACTGAGCAGAAACAAATACTAAGGAAATATTAATAAACTAGGGAGGAAATGGTATTTAACTACAAATGATATATATCCCAAGAAACACTTGTGAGACATAGGTAAGATTATGTGGCTGCCCAGAAAAGGGAATAATTACTTTGCTCTTTTCTGGGTGGTTCTACTTCAGTCATGGAAGGTAGCCAGCGACCACCCTTCCTAGCATTTGTAACCATCAGCTGGAGGCACGCTGGCACCCACTTGGATGTTCCGTTCAGAACAAAAGTTTGATAGCCTGGGGCTTAATGTTAGCTTCCATTTTAGTCTCTGCTTCCCAGGGCCATAACGTGTTCCTCAGACTTCTGACGGGACACCAGACATTTTAAGGACCGCTCGCTATCGTTTCTGGCCTGGTTGTGCTTTGTATCTGAAATTTCTAAGCCCTTTCATCCTAGTCCAATCCTCTCGTGGATTTGTCATTCACTTCTAGACCTTCAACTATTTTGGCATTTCCTTCATAGTTTCCTTTCTAGGTTTGCTTTCTTGGAAGATCATTCCTGTTAGTCTTTTTTCCTCCAACTGATAGCTCTGTCATCAGTTTTCTTTCAACATACTGCTGATGAAATTTCAACTACAAGATTTTAACAGCGAGCCATTGCCCTCTGGAAAAATGTGGGCTTCTAAAATCTGTCTCCTCTTTACCCTTCCAGCCTCACATCTAAGCCCCAAACTCCTCCTTTCTCTAGTCCCACACTATATTCTAACTGTAATGCAGTTCTGTGGTCAAACTATTATGCCCCTATATTTTTATTTTGCTCCTTTGCTTATAATACCTCCCTCAAAACCTATCTTCTAAGGCCTTTCTTCACGACCCTATTTGCCATAAGAATTCATTGCTATTTGGCCTCCATTGTACTTGTCACTTGTGCTCACTGGCTTTTTTTAAATAAAAGAGCAACTCTGACTTACAGAAAGAGAGGAGTTTCTGTGAGATGGTAGGAGCTGAAATCTGAAGCATGAATATGATCTTAACTCACTAAAGGAATGGAAAGAAAGCTGAGGAAATAACAAAGATGCTCAGCCCAAACTAAGAGGTATAGGACAGTGATGGCAACTACTTCTGAATGATTAGGGAGCAAGAGAAATGAAATATAATAAGCTGAAGTCATAGACTTAAGGACTTAGAATCCATTCATCCAGGCAACTGGAAATCGGTATTGAAGCCAGGAGGGGGAGACACAACTAGAGCTCCACTTGAGTACATACTTTCTTGGTAAGATGGACCACAAAGAGAACAATGTCAGCAGAACAAGCCAATTAAGTTCCTCTAGGATTTCAGACAAAAAGTATGCATCACGAAGCTTTCACCTGGGCATCTGAAAGTATATCATTAACAGAAAAGAGAATGAGACAGAACACTGAGTTTTGAAGATAGCACATTTTTAGGCTACTGATATTTGGGTAGAAATAAGTCCCTGAATTTTTGGTTTCATTCTGTATCCATATCTAGAGTTATGTCTAAAAAACATTTGACTTTGCTAGACATGGAAGATGGTTCATGTGACATATTACCCTATACTTACAGTGTGAGATTCTCTCACATACTCACGTTTTAAGGGGAGGTATCATTCTTGATTATAATATCAATTTTTTGACATACTGGGGATTAAACCCCGGGCCTCACATACGCTAGGCAAGCACTCTACTAATCAATATCTCCAACCCTTTTTATAATTTACTTTTAGACAGGATCTTACTTAGTTGCTGAGCTGAACTCAAATATGCAATCCTCCTGTCTCCCAAACTAGTTGACTTCAGCCATGTGTCACCATCTCCAACCTTAACGTCACGTTATAGACCAAGAAATTAACAACCACTTAAAAAATGATAAAACATGAATTGGAACCCTAGTCACTTACTATTAATAACGCAGGTCTTCTCCACTTGCCATAGTGGAAAGCTTGCTTTTACTTGGTCTCCTGGTTTGACTCCTTCATGATGCTTTGCATGCATAATGATTAGCAGTAGGTAACACTAACTGGTTAAATTTCAACTCATCAAAATAAAGAAATGCCACTTGGGTTGAAGTAGCATGTGGGTTGGCAATCGGGAGAGCCAAGTTACTGGGTGGTCATGGGAGTGGAGAAAGTAACATTTCAGGTACTTCATTCCACAGAGAGATTGGTCTGACTTTATCCAGTAAACAGTGATGAGATGCCTCAAATTTTAGTAAAGGTGTTCAAGTGAAATCACTCTTCCTTCCCCCTTGAGCAAATCAAAAGAATAGGATCCACGTCCTTATCCAATAACATACAACCTTAAACAGAGTCCCCCATGGTAGGTTCTACAAAATTTTTGCCAAGACAAAGTAAAACTTGGGATGACCCTATAATGGATATAATTCACCATTACAGTTTGGGATGAGGTAACTCCTTTTGCAGTGTGCAAGATGACATACTCCTCGAGGAGCATATTCATTTCTAAAACTGCTTTAATGCTTCCATTTGAATTTTAATAACCACTACTTAGGTCTGTAGAGGACACTACTTATGGATACTTACATATTTCTTTCATAGCTAAGTTTTTTTCATACTAAGGTAAGCAACTGGTACATTTCCTATTTATAAACAACTAGCTGTATTTTCCGTTGTGCTATGACAGAAAGGAAACAACCAAATAACCTCACCAAAAGCACTTGTTTACCCACTAGGTTAGGCATATTTACATTCCCTGTTGTTGTTCTAAATTTGTACCTTTCTATTAATACAGCCAATAAGTTATGCTTATTATCTCAAATCTTTTAAAACAGTG